AAAAAATTACCTAGAGGAGGTATCCCTGTAAGTTGCTTTGCTCTGGGACTCATGTCTGCTTCCCTGAGCCAGGGAATAGGAGTAGGGATGGCAAATGTTATGGACTTCCACATGGTTGACTGCGGTTTAAGTCCCAGGCTCTGGACTTAATTCTCTCATGAAGAAATAAACGTTAAAAAAAGAAAAGCTGAAATTCACCCAGAAATTGCCACACCCCACTCTGCCAGTTAAGGAAGAAAAGCAGAAGTTCTGATTTAAAAGTAATTTTATATATTATTTTGGAGCAGGAACCCTGTTACTGTTCTTTCCCATCTGCTCAGTTCACTCTCTAAAATGTGAACCTGGTCACTTACCAATAACGAGACTTGAAGACGATGCAACAAGCAGCTTGATTATAGAAGCATACTTTAAAAAATATTGCTAAAATCTTGTCACAGGGCATGTGCACTTGCCAGAGAAAGAAAAAGAAACAGAGTGAGCAAGAAAAAGAACCTCTAATGGGGCATGGTCACGCCACAATCCCTTCTTCTCCATTTTTCCACCCTATCGGGATTTGGGGAATGCATGCACACACACCCAATAAGTTTTTCAAGCCTCCAGGGCCAGAATTCAAACTGTGTGGTCAGCCATATGGGATCCAGTTCCCTCAACCAACCAGGCCACTAGGCTGCCTCCACTAACAGAAAAATACATTTAATGGGACCAGCAGATGGCATAATGGTTATGTCGCTGGACTTCCACATGGTTGACTGCGGTTTAAGTCCCAGACTTAGCAGCTTGAAACTCACATGGGACATGTGTGTATGCATGTCCAAAATTCCTACAGAGAAAGGATTGTGGCTTGGCCATCCATCCTGGGGGGTGATTTCTTGCTTTCTGTCTCTCCAGCAAGAACACACACGCTATAGCAAAAATCTCTCAAAAAGAGAAAAAAGTATTGGGACCAGCAGTTAGCGTAATGGCTATGTCACCGAACTCCCATGTAATCAACCACAGTTCGAGGCCTGGACCTGGTGGCTTAAACTCACCCTGTGTGTGCCCAAGATCTCGAGAGGAGAATGGAGGAGAAGGGACTGCAGCGTGGCCATCCCCCTTGGAGGGTGATTTCTCACTTTCTATCTCTCTGTCTCTCTCTGTCTTTCCAAAGAAAAAAAAAAAGAGAGAGAGAAAAGCATTAAGGGACCAGCAGATAACATAACGGTTTCATTGCTGGACTCCTACATAGTCGACCACAGTTTGAGTACTGGACCCAATGGTTTAAGACTCATGCTGGGTGTGTGTGGGTGTGTGCTCAAAATCCTGAGAGGAGACTGGAGGAGAAGGGATTATGGCGTGGCCATCCCTCCTGGGAGGTGATTTCTTGCTTTCTGTCTGTGTCTCTGATGAATGCATGCACCCTACAGCAAAAATCTCTAAGAAAGAAAAAAGCATTTAATAATGAGTATTCCCTATATGATTCTGTTTCCAGTGATTAAAACCTGTCAGTTTGGGCCCAGCAGTGGTGGCAGAGACTACAGGGCATCATTGTGCAAAATTGGAACCACAAGTAAGGCCCAGACTTGGATCTGGAATAACCTAAATATGGCAGGCACAGTGATAGAGACCAGTAACCTAGCTAAGTGAGAGGCTGAAGTGAGGGGATCACGACATGGCAAGACACTGTAGAAAGACCTACCTCCTCTGTAAAACAAAGAAACATGCAACAGATACCTATTGTTCTGTAGAACCAAATACAAAGCTAAAAGGAAACAAAAAAACCTTTTTTTCAGGCTGAAGAAATTCATTTTTAAGGAATCGAACATGTTTTTCCTTGTGAGGATTAAAATGATACAAGAAAACTCATCACAGAACAAGGTGTGCAGCAACACGACATGTTAAATCCTTCCCATCTATCTTCTCTGGCTACTCAAAATGCAAAGTAGGGAAATGACAATCAAATCTTTTGGTCCAAGGAAGAAAATCTCTTTAAAAAATGTTTAAAAGTCAAGATGTGCCAGAATAAGTTATTAGAGCAGCATTTTATCATCAGGTGGTAGAAATATTAGTTTTAATTATTAATTAGGATTTATTGAACAATGCTCTCATAAAATCTATATGATTTGTAACACATCAGAATTCCCTCCACCCCCAGGATCTGGAAATAGCTGTCCCAATCTGGAAAATAATTTGTTACTAACCGAATGCAGTCACAGATGAAATGCACCGTTCAGTAAGTGTAGATAACAGCAAGAATTCTCCTCCATCTGGACTAATGATATCTGGATTTCATTTCTAAAACATACCAGCGCATTCAAAGATACAAAGACCTGAAATACACAGATCTTTTTCACCCAGGCCTCTCTGCCTGTACAGGAAACAACCGAGCTGTGAGAGTACTTGTTATGAACAAACACATCAGCCCTCACAGGTATAGGACAGAAATCCAAATGCTTGTTCCACGAGATGTCTTCCATTAACCTGAAGCCTTTGGTTTACGGTGTTTAGCGAACCACTCATCGCTTTTGTCTGCTGCCATTGCCTATGGAGACAAAGGGAATACACATTTACTTCAGGTCTGAAAAAGAAACATCGCAGTGTGCACAATCAAGAAATTCCCATTTCGGGGCCAGCAGGTGGTGTGGTGGTTAAGGCACTGGATACTCCCACGTGGCCAACCACAGTTTGAGTCCCAGACCTGGTAGCTTGCTTTTTCACTTTCTCTCTTCCTCTCTGATCAAATTAAAACAAATGAATGAAAAAAATAAATTAAAAAAAAAAGAAATTCCCATCTAAAGAGTGTTTATCTAGGAAGGCCAGACAGTAGCATAGTGGTAAAAATGCAGCACTCTGCAAGGCAGACCCACTTGGGAAGGTTACCAGTTTGTGTCCAGAGACCTCCCTGAGTATGCCAGGCACAACTGTGCCCTCAATCCAGGCTGTCTGAAACTGGGGGTGGATCACCGTGTAGAGACCCGTCTGTGGTGTTGTATTTCTCTGTCTCACTCATGAAATAAAATAAGTACATAAAGAGTGTTCATCTAGCATAGGGATGTTCAATGTGACAGGAGTGGCTGGTAAGCAGTGAGGTGGATTCTTTTTTTCCCCCCTAAGAGATTTTTTGCTATGGGAATATGCATGCGCTGGACAGACACAGAGAGACAGAAAGCAAAGAATCACCCACTGGAGGGTGGCCACACCACAATCCCTTCTCTTCTAGTCTCCTCTTGGAATTTTGGGTATGCATGTAAATGTGCCCAGCATGAGTTTCAAGCATCTGGGTCTGGGACTCAAACCATGGTTGGCCATATGAAAATCTAAGCATTATTATAACTTATGCCATGTGCTGGTCCGTTTCCCTATTTTCAACTGCAGACACTTCTGTCTCCTTGTTAAAGTAGGTGAGTATTTTTGCACCATTTCTCTGGCCAGTTAGCAGCCTCTTTCCTTTTAGTCTTAATCACTTTGTTAATGGCTCTATTATATCAAATGCCTCAAGACACACATAATTTTTTTTTTTTTTTTTTTTTTTCCATTTGTGTAATAGGTAGGACGTGTGAGCTTGCCGGAGAGATAGAGAGTTAGAAAGCAAGAAATTACCCCCCTGGGGGGATGGCCTTGCCACAGTCCCTTCTCCTCTGTTCTCCCCTTGGGATTCTGAGCACACACGCACACATGCCTGACATGAGGGTATTTTTTTTTTTAGGATTTATTTTTATTTTATTTGTTTATTATTGTTTTTCCATTTGACCAGAGAGAGGGAGAATGAGAAAGTGAGCTGCCAGGTCCAGGACTTGAACTGTGGTCAGCCATGTGGGAATTCGGCGCCTTAACCACCATGTCACATGCCAGCTCCCTGCCTGGCCTGAGTTCTAAGCCATTTGGTCTGGACTGGAACAGCAGTCATCTACGTGGGAGTCTAGCAATGTAACCATTACACACACTTTCTCATGCAAAATAGTTGTGTCCATGTCTGGGTCCTCAGTTATCCTGTATACTCCTCAAAGCTTCAGACCGTGTCTGAGTACCATGGGCACACTTGAGCCTGCCGTAGTACCCAGCTCATAATGAAAACTATAATTTCTAAATGGTACTTCTATACTTGCTTTTTGACTATATAAATGAATGCTTTTCCTTACCAAACAGCTATTTACCAAGTGCTCGATTGCATTAGACAAGAACTTACAAGAAACTCAAGTTCCATTCTTAGGCCCCTCTGCAAGCTCCTCTCAGTGGAGTTGACATATAACATAAGAAGATAAAGGAATTCTGTGGAACCAAAAGATTAGTAGAGGTAGAGCTTCCTTTTTAATTAAGAGGCCTTATGAGTCTAACCAGGTGATAAGAATCACAGCACTTTTCATTCTACCAAAGACTCAAATAAACATTTTTTAAATTTGTTATATGGAGCCAGTAGGTGATATGGTAGTTAAGGAACTAGACTCCAACATGGCTGACTATAGTTCAAATCCTAGACGGGGGCATGAAAATCACTTGGGGCATGTGTGCATACATGTGTGCCCAAAATCCCAAGAGAAGAATGGAGAAGGGATTGTGGAGTGGCCATCCTCACGGGGTGATTTCTCACTTTCCCTTTTTCTTTCTCTCTGTCCTCTGTCTCTCTCTGACAAGCACATATGCCCTATAGCAAAAAAACAAAAAACAAACAAAAAGAGATGTTTACGACTGAGGAGGAGCTGTCAGAGACGAAGATGGCAAGATCTCCGACATCAAAGTAAAAGAGAGATCAAAGGAGAAGAAAATTCATCAATGGCATGAAAAGATTGAGAAGGAAAGAATCTAGCAAGTTTCCTTCATGATAAAATTTATAAAGGCTTTATTTTCTACACAATCCTGCTTTAATGGCTATTAACTGAGCATTTGCCATTATGTTAGCAGTTCACCAAGCTCTATAAACCACACAACAATCACACAGGGTAGACACTCTTACTTTCCCAGTTTCTTTAATTATTTTATTTAACTTTATTTTAATTTGACCAGAGAGGGACAGAGTGAAAGAGAGAGAGGGAAAGTGAGAAAGCAAATTGCCAGGTCCAGGACTTGAACTGCAGTGGGTCAAGTGAGAGTCCAGCACCCTTAACCACTACACCACCTGCCGTCCCGTCCCAATTTCTTTTAAAGAATGATTTTATTTAACTTTATTTTAATTTGACCAGAGAGAGAAAGTGAGAACACAAGCCACTAGGTCTGGGACTTGAACTGTGGTCAGTCATGTGGGAGTCTACCACCTTTAACCACCAAACCACACACTGGCCCCACTTTCCCAATATTTTAGATAAGGAAACTGAAATTCAGAGAATTTAAGTAAATTGTTTAAGGCCAGCCACATAGATATTAAGTGAAAGAACCAGGAGAGATCAATTCATTTTTTAATTATGCAACTAAGTATTCACACAATGTCTACTAAGGATTGGTGTGTGCTGGAAGCTGGGACACTACAATGACTGCTTTGAATGCTGCTGAAAGATCGAGTTCAATGAGAATAGAAAAGTGGTAGCTGGATTTAGCAGGATGGAGGTCACACACGCACTTAACTGAGTAACAAGAGCCCTGAACAAACTGAAGTGTAAATGGGTGGGGAGAAATAGAATAGGTATGTAGACAGATTTTTTTTAAAATGAAATCTGGAGAAAGGCTATGGGGTCAATTAAAAAAAATTTTTTTTGAGATATTTTTGCTTTAGGGCACTTGTGTTCACTGGAGAGAGACAGACAGAAAGAAAGCAAAAAATCACCACCCCAGGGGAAGATGGCCATGACACAATCCCTTCTCCTCTATTCTCTTGGTATCTTGGGCATGCACACACATGTGCCCACTTGAGATTTTTGTTTGTTTGTTTCAAGATTTACTTATTTATAATTTGTTTAATTTTTTTTTGGGGGGGGAAGGTTTTTGCTATAGGGCGAGTACGCTTGCCAGAAAGACAGAGAGAAAGAGAGAGAGAAATCACCCCCAGGAGGGATGGTCACGCCACAGTCCCTTCTCCTCCATTCTCCTCTCAGGATCTTGGGCATGCACACTTGCTCGGCATGAGTTTAAGCCACCAGGTCCGGGACTCGAACTGTAGGTGAATACATGGTAGTCCAGTGACATAGCCATTATGCCAACTGCTAGTCCCTAATTTATTATTATTCTACAACTTTTACCAGACAGTGACAGACAGAAAGGGAGACTGAGAAAGCAAGTCACCAGGTCTAGACTCAAATTGTGGTTGGCCATGTGGGAGTCTAGGGCCTTAAGCGCCACGCCACCTGCCAGTTCCCCCAACTTGAGATTTAAGCTGCTGGGTCTGGGACTCAAACTGCAGTTGACTACGTGGGAGTCCAGTGATGCGACCATTACACCATCTGCTGGTCCCCAAAAAAAGGCTTTTAAAGATGAGAGCTGATGGGGCCAGCTGGTGGTGTGGTAGTGAAGGCATTGGACTCCCACACGGACGACCGTGGTGGAGTCCCAAACCCAGCTGCTTGAAAATCACATTGGGCACACGTGCATGTATAATCAAACTCCCAGAAGAAGAACAGAGGGAAAGGGACTGCCGCATAGCCCTTCCCCTGAGGGGTGAGTTCTCACTTTCCCTCTCTCTGTCTCTCTCTGCTGAGTGCACACACCATATAGGTGTGGGGGGGAACTAAGAAAATAAAACAACAAAGAAAGATGGAGCTACTGGGACCAGCAGTTGGCATAATGGCTATGTCACTGGGCTCCCATGTGGTTGACCATGGTTTTGAGTCCTGGACCCAGTAACTTAAACTCATGCTGGGCATGTGTGCATGCGTGCCCAAGATCCCGAGAGGAGAATGGAGGAGAAGGGATTGCGGCATGGCCATCCCCCCTGGGCGGTGATTCCTCGCTTTCTGTCTCTCTGTCCGAGTGGGCGAATGTGCCCTATAGCGAAAACCCCTCCGAAAAAAAAAAAAAAAAAGAGAAAGATGGAGGAGCTACTGAAATTTGTTATATGCTAATAAGAATTCATTGGCAGGGAAGAGGCTACATGTGTAGAATGGAGAAAAGGTGACCAAAAAAGCTGAAGCAGGGCAAGGGAATGGTATCCAGGCATTTCCACTCCCTGAGCACAGTAAGGCTGCAGACAGGAGCAGCTTCCAAAGGCAGCCTGAGGAGTCCGGTTGAGTGGCATATGGAGGCAATAAAGACATATGTCTCAACAGTCACCCCATGTTAAAAGGACATGGTCGGACAGTACGAGTCCTTCCCTCTGGCACTTGCTCATACACATTTTGTGCCATCCCCCTTAGGCCCACAGTGATAAAAAATTTAGAAGGAAACTCACATCATCCAACAATTTGCTTCCCTCTGGATCCACCTTAGAAAGCTCTCGAAATGCTTCATCCCCAACAAAGCAAATTTCATGTCCATCCTATACCAATAGAGAGAGAAGAAATTAGGCAAAAATATCTCCACAGCAACACCCGGGACAGCCCGTCTCCATCCTGAGCAGTACTTACAGGGTCGGCCAGGATGACCACTTGAACTGTTGCTTTCCCTGGGGTATCCAGACTCACGAGAGGGGTCAGAATCTTCTGCTTCTCCCTTTTCATCAAATCTTCTAAACCTGGCAACTTGAGGAACAGAGAAGGCAAAGCCAGTAAGGGGTCACTGCTACTCTAACCGCATGTCGTCCTCAGCCCTGGAGAAATATCAGATGGACCAGAAAGAACCCAGGCACCAGTTGCTTGCTTTTATTATCTCAGCCACTCCTGAAACAACTGTTGAACTCGTTACCAAAGCCACAATCAGAATGAACCTGAAGAAGGGAAGGCCAAGGTTCTTAGCGGAGGTGAATTAGCTAGTGAGAGAGCTTAAACAAAAGATTTGGTACCAAACATTACCTCTTTCTGAGGGCAAGAAAAGGCAATTCTTCCAAAAGCTGCTGCATGGTCAACCGCACCTTTAATGCACTGTAGCTCCAGCTTACACTGAAAGGAAATAAGAAAGTGGACCTATTTTTTGGAACAGGTTATATATCCATGTAGTAAAAATATTCAAACACTACTAAGGAGCAGAATAAAAACTAGGTCTCCCTCCTACTCTCACCCCAGAGGCAACTAGTCAGCCGTCTCCTATGTATCCCCTAGACACAATGCATGCATACATCTTTCTTCTTCTTTTCTTTTTTTGGAGAGGTTTTTGCTATAGGGTGCGTGAGCTCGCCAGAAAGACAAAGACAGAGAGACAGAAAGCAAGAAATCATCCCCCAGGGGGGATGGCCAAGCCACAATCCTTTCTCCTCCATTCTCCTCTCGGGATCTTGGGCACCCACGCACACACGCCCAGTATGAGTTTAAGCCACTGGGTCTGGCACTCATACCACGGTCAACCACATGGGAATCCAGCGACATAGTCATTACACCAACTGCTAGTCCCAACACCTTTCTTTTTTATACAAATGGTAGCACAATTGGGACCAGCAGGTGGTGTGGTGGTTAAGGCGCTGGGCTCCCATGTAGTCAACTGTGGTTGAAGTCCTGAACCTCTCCGTTAAAAAAAAAAAACGGTAGCATAATTTACAAATTACTCTGTCCCTTGTTTTCCTCCACTTAGTATTACCACCTTAGTACCTAAAAAACTTGCCTCGGTCTTTTTGATAGCTGTGTTGTAATTCATTCTATGAATGAACCATAAATTATTGAAAGATTCCTCTACTCTGTGGGACACTGAGGTTTTTACCTCTTGCCATTACAGACAATGCTGCAATAGGTAACTCTATACACACTGCCTTTCACAAAGTGTGAGTACAACTGTGAAGCAATTCCGAAGGAGGACTGCTGGATCAAAGTGCAAAACCTAAATCAAACTAGATTTTTTCTTTTTAATGAAAACAAAACATTAAATCTGTTCTTTTTTTTTTTTTTAATTGAGAGTTCACATGAGAGACAGACAGAGACAGAAAGCATCTCCCCCCACTCCATGGGGCCTGGACACACTAAGATCCTTTTTTCTCCAATCTTCAGTCCTACTAGGATTCTAGGCATGTGTGCACACGCCTGGCATGTTTTTCAAGCAGCCATGGCTAGGATGTAAACCCTGGGATTTGGCCACCTGGGGTGCAGTTCCTTCTGAACAGCACTTAAACAATGGACTACAAGGCAGACCCCATGTTCTACACCTTGTCTGCATCTCTTCTGACTCAGCAATTCTCTTTCTAAAAGAATAGATCCCCAAGGGACCAGCTGTTGGTATAATGGCTATGCTGCTGGACTCCCATGTAGCCGACCATGATTTAAGTCCCGGACTCAGTGGCTTAAACTCACGCCGGGCACGTGTGTGTATGTGCTCAAGATCCTGAGAGGAGAATGTAGGAGAAAGGATTGCGGCGTGACCATCCCCCCTGGGGGGTGATTTCTCGTTTTCTGTCTCTCTGTTTCTATCTCTGGTGAGTGCACACGCCCTATAGCAAAAACCTCTCCAAAAAAATAAAAAAAAAAGAATAGATCCCCAAATATAAACAAAGGTGACATTTGGCTAGGAAGGTTATCACTAATTTTTATTTCCTTCTTTCTGTTACCTGTATAAATACGGAATCAATGTGAGGAAACTATGGGACAACTTTCAGGTTAACCTCACTTATGAGACAAACTCAAAACAACAGGTCTTCCTTGCAAAGCCGTTCACCTGGTTATCAGCATAGCCCAGCAAAGCCCTTTGCTTCTCTTCATCTTTTTCATAAATTTTCATTCCTAGTAGATTAGACCAGTAATTCAGGGACTTCTGAAGATCAGACACTGCCAGAGTTACTTTTAATACAGGATCTGTATGATAAAGAAACAGGAATAGACAGGTCAGTTCAAGGGAACAGAATAGAAAGCTAAAAATAGACTCAAGCATCTATAAGAAGTTAGCTTACAATATGAAAGGATTTGTTTTCCTTTTATTTTATTTTATTTTTTTTTTGGAGAGGTTTTTGCTATAGGGCGCGTTGCGCTCGCTAGCAAGACAGAGACAGAGAGAGAGAAAGCAAAAAATCAACCCCTGGGAGGGAAGGCCACGCCACAATCCCCTCTCCTCCATTCTTCTCCTGGCATCTTGGGCACACACACACACACACGCAACTGGCGTGAGTTTAAGTCACCGGGTCTGGGACTCAAACCGCAGCTGACCACACGGGAGTCCAGCAACATAGCCATTACGCTAACTGCTGGTCCCAATAAGAAAGGATTTTAAGATAGCATGAAAGGGCACATCATTCCACAAATGGCACTAAGATAATTGGCTAATCATTTAATGGGAAAAAGTTATACCTTTGAACTAAATGGCAAAATACATTCCTGATGGGTTGGTTGAAGGATTGAATTTAAAGAACGAAACCAAAGAGGTTGGCAAATGGCTTGGTGGATAAAGCACTGAATTTCCACGTGGCTGACTACGGTTTGAGTCCTGGACCTGGTGGCCTACTTTTTCCCTTTCTCTCTCTGGCCAAATTATAAACAACAATAATAATAATGATAATAATAAAGAATTCTTTTAAGAAAAGAAACAAAATGAAACCACTAGGCACAGACGATTATTTAATATAGTCTGGGGATGAAGGCAAATTTTCTTTAAACCTGACAACAGGGGCCAGCAGATGACATGTAATTAAGGCACTGGACTCCCACATAGCCGGTTGTGGTTCAAGTCCTGGACCTAGCGGCTTGCTTTCTCACTCCCTACCCCACTCCTGTCTCTGGTGAGTGCACATAGAAATTTTAAAAATAGTAATAATTATAAATAAAAAGCAAAACATGGCATCAAAGATTTAAAAACTATGAAGAAAAAAACGTCTGCTAGGCTAATTACACAAAATAGAAAACTAGATGGGCCAGCAGATGGCATAGTGATTATGTCACTGGACTCCCACATGGCTGACCACGGTTCGAGTTCTAGACCTGGTGTCTTGAAACTCACACCGAGCACATGTGCATATGTGCCCAAGATCTCAGGAGGAGGATGAAAGAGAAGGGACTGTGGCAAGGCTGTCCCCCCTGGAGGGTGATTTCACACTTTCCCTCTCAGTGTTCCTGTCTCTCTCTCTGGTGACTGCAAGCACCCTAAGGAAAAAGGGAACCAGCAGTTAGCGTAATGGCTATGTCGCTGGACTCCCACATAGTCGACCGCGGTTCGTGTCCCGGACCCGGTGGCTTAAAACTCACGCCGGGCGCGTGTGCATGCGTGCCCAAGATCCCGAGAGGAGAATGGAGGAGAAGGGATTGCGGCGTGACCATCCCCCCTGGGGGGTGATTTCTCGCTTTCTGTCTCTATGTCTCTCTCTGTCTGTCTGGCGAGCGCACGCGCTCTACAGTGAAAATCTCTCCAAAAAAAAAAAAAAAACAAACTTAAAAGAAAACAACCAGAAAAAGGATAACAACCAGGCCAGTATGTGACATGACGGTTAAAGGCAGCTGGATCCCACATGGCTGACCCCGCAGCTAACAATACATGACCTGGTAGCTTAAAAAACATGCCAGCTGTGTGTATGTGTGTGTGTATGTGTGTGTGTGTGTGTGTGTGTCCTACAACAGTCAAGATGAGAATGGAGAAGAGAGTAGTCTGGCCATCCCATCCTTGGGAGGTGATTTCTCACTCTCTCTTTCTCTGATGAGTGTGCATGTACTTATCGCAAAACTAAAATAGGGGCCGGAACATGGCATGGTGGTTAAAGTGCTGGACTCTCATGTGGCTGACTGCAGTTCAAGTTCCAGACCTGGTAGCTTGCTTTCTCACTTTCTCTGTGTCTCTCTCCGATCAAACTGGAAAATAATAATAATAATGATAAATAAAATAATTCTTAAAAGCAAAAAACAGAATGAAAACTAAAAATAGTAAAACCAAAATTAAGAATCAACAGGCCCAGCCATAGTAGCATGTATGAGACACTGTTGGTCTGGCTAAGGCCACATGGGAGGCTCAGGTTCAATTCCTGCCCCACTGTAAAAAAAGCCAGCACACACACCTGTAGTCCGAGCTGCTTTGGGAGGCTGCAGCAGGAGAATCAGGAGCTCACAGCATGGGCAACAGAGGCACGCCCTGTTCTTCTTTTTTTTTTTTAATATTTTTAAAAATAATTATTTATTTATTTTTATTTATTCATTCATTTATTTTAATTTGACCAGAGAGAGACACACACAGAGAGAAAGAGAGTGGGAAAGTGAGAAAGCAAGCCACTAGGTTCAAGACTCAAACCGTGGTCGGCCATGTGGGAATGTCCAGTGCTTTAACTACCACACCACCTGCTAATCCCACCCTGTTCAGTTTTTTTTTAAAGAGAGACTTTTCCTACAGAGCACGTGCACTCACAGGAGAGACAGAGGGACAGAAAACAAGAAATCCCCCCCCCCCAAGGGGGATGGCCACACCACAATCCCTTTTCCTCCATTCTCCTCTTTGGGCACAGATGCACACATGCCCATCATGAGTTTTAAGCCACTGGGTCTGGGACGCAAACTGCAGTGGACTACATGGGAGTCCAGCAACATAACCATTAAACCATATGCTGGTCATGGGATACCCTGTTTAAAGGGTCCAAGTGTAGGGATGCATACCTGTCGTCCAGGCAACTTGAGACACGCTGAAGGAGGAGGATAACGACATGGTCAGACCCTGGGGAAAATATGGCCCCCGCTCAACATGCAAACAAATTTTTCCAACATATAGTGCAAAGAGTTCTTAATATTTAAGTCATCTTTGAACATTAATAGGATGGGGGCCAGCAGGTGGCATGCTGGATAAGGGTACTGGACTCCTACATGGTCAACTGTGGTTTTAGTCCTGGACTTGCAGCTTTCTGTCTCTCTCTCTTTCTCTCTCTCTGTCCCTTTCTGGTAGGAGAGAGAAAGAGAGAGAGAGAGAGAGAAAGGGAGGAAAGAAGTTTTAATATGATGACGAGCCTAGAAAACAGGCAAATGGCACAAAGCAGTAATCCATAAAAGGAGGAAGTGGAATAGTCAAAAAGATTCAGCCTCACAATAAAAAAATGAAAGAAAAACAAAAATTAGAATTAAAATAAGACATTTTGCTATTTACTTGACTAATATTGGGGTGTCAGAAAAGTCCTAACATTTTTTTCTATGCAAAAATGCATCACGACTTTTCTGACAACCCAATAATTTAAAAGTTAACAATTAAAAGTCAACACTCGGAATGGTATTAGTTTTGGCAGTTGGTGGCATGACGGTTAGCGGGCCTGGATCCCACATGGTCAACTACACAATTTGAGTCCTGACCCGGCTTGAGAATCAGATGGGGTCACATGTGCATAAGTGTTCAACGTCCCAAAAGGAGAGATGAAAGAGGATTGTGGTGTCACCATGCCCCATGGGGGGACGGTGTTTTCTCACTTTCAGTCCCTTTCCATTGAACTTACATGCCCTTGAGCAAATCACCAAAAGCAAAAGCAAAACAAAACAAAAAGAAAAGAGTATTAGCACCGGGGCACTACAACCAGAACACTGGAAGACTAGATAGTAGAACCTTCCTGGGCAACAATTTGACAGAATGAATCGAAAGCTTTAACAATGTCCATTGCTTTTGAAAGAGCAAGTCTATTTTCAGCAATTCAAAAAGCAATTGTGGATGTATAAAGGGCTTTCATCACAAAGACATTTGTCACAGTGTTACTAAGAACAATGAAACACTAAGAACATAAATATCCAACAATAGAGAACTGTTTATCTTCCTACAATGTAATAATACAATGGAATTCCCGAGAAAATGAAGGAATATATGTACTTAGTTATTTTTTTAAGAAATTTGGCACACTCGGAAAGTAAGAGACAGAAACAGTGAGAAGGAAAGTGAAAAATCACCATCCCTTCTCCTTTGATTCTCCTTCTGGGATCTTGGCCACTCATGTACATGTACCAAGTGGGAATTTTAACCCACCAGATTTGGGACTTGAACCATGGTCAGTCATGTTGGAGTCCAGCAACATAACCTTTCTATCACCTAACATATTTATTTATAAATATATTTATTTTACACACACACACTTTTTTTTCTTTTTAAAATAAAAGATTAGGAATATATACTCAAAAATTAACACTGGATATATGGGTACTGTTTTTGTTCTCTGTCTCTCTCTCTTTTCTTTTTTTCCCTTGTGCTTATCTATTTGTCTTTTTAAAAAACCCTATTATTGAAACCAGAAGATGACACAATGGTTATGTCACTGAGACTCCCACGTAATAGACCGCAGTTGAAGTCCCAGACCCGGCGGCTTAAATCTCATGCCAGATGTGTGTGTGTGTGTGTGTGTGTGTGTGTGTGTGTGTGTACGCACGCCCAAAATCCTGAGAGGGACTGCAGAGTGACCATTCCCCCTGGGAGAGATTTCTTGCTTTCTGTCTCTCTGTGTCTCCAGTGAGCCCACACACCCTATAGCAAAAACCTCTCTAAGACAAAATGTAAAACATCCTACTTGTAAGAAGAATACAAATGATATTAAAACAGGGAACATGACTGGAAACTTTTTATACTGCAAGTGGCTTTCTTTTCTTTATTTTTTTCTTTGCTAAAGGGCTTGTCTGCTCCCCAGACAGAGAGACAGGAGAGAAAGCACTAGTCATAGAGAAGACACACTGCAATCTCTTCTCCACCTCTCCCTCCTTTCAGGATTTTGGGCTCACATGTGCCCAACATGTTTCTCGAGTTGCTGGGTCCAAAATGTGAGCGATTGTGTCAACCATGGGGGACCCAGCTGCCTTGACCACCAGGCCATGGAGCTGGCCCATAAATTACTTTTTATCTTATTTTTTTTAAGAGAGATTTTTGCTAT